TATTTTATGTCCAAGATATAAAGTGTGTTTATGTACTTACTTTTAAAATCTTGTGTCAGTTTAGTGCAAGGCGCTTTTTCGGTGAAGCAATCAATAAATTTTTGCAACTCGTTCTTATCGGCAACAATTGCTGCGATGTCCAGGTCGTCATGTTCCGTGCTGTATGCCAAGGCGGTGGTAGCCAAGCCTACCAACACAGTAAGTGCCACGATAGTCTTCATATCGGAGAGAGCTTTTGTCTGGAAGTGAAGATAAAACATTAGGTATAGATGTATTTTAGTTATCCAACATGGCTTGTTTCAAATGTGATTAGGGAGTGGAAATTACATTGTGAAGAATAAACGTTAACAAAGTTTAAACGGTTTAATACATGGATCAAAACAAATAGAATAAATCTGTTCATGTGTAAGTGTGTTCATCTCGAGAGCATTTATGCTAATTTCATAGGTAATTAGTTAAAATAATTGATGAATTATTAGTTTCCATATCGGTTATCATCATCATCAGCTCACTATACGTCCCCACCGAGGGGCTCGGAGCCTACCCTAAGTTAAGGGTGATTAGGCCATAGTCAACCACGCTGGCCAAGTGCGGGTTGGTTGACTTCACACATATCTTTGAATTACTTCTCAGATATGTGCAGGTTGCATCACGATGTTTTCCTCAATCAAATGTATTCTTCGTTGGTATATCGGTTATACCAACGAAGAATACATTTGATTTTTTAAATTATCTAACTAATATTATAAATGTTAACGTATATAGATGAATGGAAGGATGGTTGTTTGTTAGAAGATGTCTCCAGAAAAGCTCAACGGATCAAGATGAAATTTCACAAAGTCTGGAAGAGCACACGGGCTACTTGTTAATTTTTTTTAAATTTGGACGGAGTCGCGGTTTACAACGAATTTTGCATAAATATTTCTTTACTTATCTAATAATATCAGCCCTTTAAAGAATACTAATGTGCCTTCGTAATATATTTAGATGCTATAAAAATAACATAAAATTAATTTCTTAGTGATTACGATCAATGTAAAGTTAAATTAAAAATCGTACATTATCGAGACAAGAAACAAATTTTTATTTTGTTAATTAAATCAAAATAAATGTTATTAATAAAAATACACCATGTATGACTTACTTGAATTAAGAACTCGACTGATATACGATTTCAAGTTGCTATAACTTTTATAGTCCTGCATTCAATAGATTTTTTTACATATGCCAAATCGATAAATGACGTAGTTTTTTGCAGTCCGTGCCTTGAGGATTCAATAGATTTTTTCTCTAAGGTTATTTAATAATATAAACACGTATTTAAATGAATAAAACAACATACATGATGAATTATTTAAGTTTATTTTATTTTCTTAGATGCACTTAGTAAAGATAGATTGACCTATGGACTGATAGAAAGGTAATAAAGTTATCTATATTAAAACAAACGTTCCTTTTATATCAGTATAGAGTACATTACACTTTATAATCTTTATTTAATTAATCTTTGTAAATTGTTATCTAAAACTCTAGCAATTAAACTACTAATAATTTTAGATTTTAGCCATTTTAATTATTCAGGCTACTTATTTTACTATCCCTTATAATACATAATAACAAAACATATTAAACCGACAAAACATTCACATATATCTGACATATTCTGAAAACAAACTTTCCATACAAATTTTTCAAGCCCTTACAACTTCTTTTTCGCGTTAAGTAAGGTTTAGTAGTTTTTGCGTGAAAGTAGGACAGACAGAAAGACAGACAGAGTTACTTTGGAATTTAGTAAGGATTGTACAATGTTTAAAGCTTAACGTTGATTTATATACTCCAATCCAATTCATTTGATTGTTTCTTTGCATTGCTACAAAACTAATACTAAACCCAAAACTACTAAATTGGAATTCAAAAAACTTTTTCTATATTTATTACATTTCATTTTTAAATTTCGCCGGCCTAAGTCGCGGGAAACAGCTAGTTTTTCATATTTTGTGCTCTATAATGCATGCATTGCAGTTTGTGATCGTCGAATTTATTTTTATTTGTATTCCTATCAGCACTTTCCATATTCGGTTGGTTTCTGTGTAATGTCCGTATTTACCAGAAATATTAACAATAACCATAGTTGCTACTTTAAAACTCTACCTTATAACGCTGTTTCTAAAAATATCTATTATAATTAGATATTGTTTTGGTTTATCTCTTTTTAAAACTTTATGTATTACTAGCTGTCGCCTGCGTTTCCGTCCGTTCGGAGTTGAAACAAAACTTATAGTAAGCTTTGTGTTCTTTCAGGCTATATTTTTTACCAAATTTCAGCGAGATCCATACAGCTGTTCTGGAGATACCTCTTAATAAACAACTATCTATCCAAATGTTGGCATTTAGGTATACGTAATATGGGTAAGATTATGGTGTTTTTGAACTATATATACTGGATGACTTGCGATTTATACACATAACCAACACCGTGTTTTTTTTTTGTTTAAGATGATAAATTTTATTATGGCTATTGTAAACTTTTTATGATATTACCAAATTAGCAACGTTAAACTTAATATTTTTAGAACTGTACAAAAGATATATAGCCTTCAACTGCAAATGATTAGCAGGAAGGCATATTATTAAAAACCTTACGTAGATGTTAGCAAGTTCTCCAATTTGTTATTACATTCAAATAAATCTAGGATACATGAAATTATATTTCTGTGTAATATCGATTTGTAAAATTAATAAGATTTAAAATCTGCAGTTGCCGTGACTCCCACTGAACGGAGTTGAAAAAATCTTAATTAGTAGCCTATGTGTTCTTCCAGACTATGCCAAACTTCAGCGAGATCTATGCAACTGTTCTAGAGTTACCTTCTAGCAAACACCCATCCAAACATTCGCATTTATAATATTAGTAAGATAAGAAACAGCTTTAATATTTTGGTTTACTTAGCAACATCATAGTTCAAGGATCGAGTTAATAAATGGCTGGTAATGATAGGTTACGTCAGTCATCCTATGAATAGATTATTTAATTCTCTAGACGTTTCTTAAAATGTTTTTGTATAATGTATAAAAATGTATAAAAATGGTAACTGCAAAAAGTTTTAATGCATTAATTGCATCTTTTGTATCTAATGCACGTGCGGTAACAAACACATCGAAATGATGTTGGCATTAAACAGTTTTTTTTTTATTTCATGTCTAAACTAAAAAGGTTTATATAGTTTATTTTTAAAGACAGTATTGTCAACAAATTATAACACTGTACAATATTTAGAGCCTGATTTCGTCGATTTAATTTCTTGTCGTTAGTGTCCATAGGTTACAATTTGCTGAAAGTTTTTGATATGTCCGAACTATAGGATCAAATTAAAAATTTATAAAATTCGTAATTTGTCAGTGACATTTATAGATTTATCTACAACATGTAGAAATATGTATAGTCTTCAGGAATAGAGTTAAAATTAAACTAATAATAAAGTTTTAAAATCGTCTTTTTTCCTTAATAGGTCATACAATCATTCAAATTCTAAGACACATATAAATAATGGATTAAAGGAGTGAGTTATGTATCACAGTGCTTTTTATTTGTATACACGAATTCCCGGTAAATCACTTTTAAATTACAATGAGCTTTGAATTTAAATGTATTCAAAAGTTTTTTTACACAATACATTAGCAATGTCATGTAGGTGGGATACAAGTTATAAAATACCTACTCGTGTTTGACTTGGCTTTAGATTCAGATATTCATTTATACAGATAAGTATATTTGTCTATATGTAATATCAAAATTAAATGGTTATATTTTATTCAATTATAATGAAAAATCAACTTTTAAAATTTTTGTCTGTCAATTCAACAAAAAAAAATCATTCCTGGGAAGCACATTGTTGGATATAGGCCTTCTCCAATGTCTTCCGAAGTATGTGGTCCTCCGCTCAAAAACATAAAGCAGTTTAGAAATATGCACCGATAAATATTTTAATCAGTTTCCAAACGCCTTTGAAAAAAGGATGAGCAAATATGCATCATTGTTAATTTGATATAAGCTTAAGAAAAGGCGCTCGTGTTAACGTATTTTTGTACTATTAGTAGTTCTCGTCTTCATTTAGTGTTAAGAAATTTTATTGAAAACGATACAATATAAATAGTGTTGTAATATTACTTAAACATAAACTATTTGAAACAGATACTTGACGGTACATTCTACCAGGTATAATCAAATCTTGAAATAAATTTTCGTTCTTTTTTAAGCTTAGTAAATATGGTAAAACTTAGTTGTAATGCCAAAATATCAAACTTACCTTATAATAATTTGTAATCTTATTATTTCCTTCTAAATTGTGTTTTACTTACTTTAATAATTATTAGGTAAGTTTACAAACTTATTAAGTCAGTAAACATTCAGGCGAATTACGTTTGTATTATAAATATACTATAGTTAATAATACATGATTAAAAAGTTGCTTGACAACATTAAGTGTGGACTTCGACTGCACTGAAACATGGATCAATATATTTTGTCTCTATTTTGTTAAAGAGTATGAAAGGGATGATAATATATTAAATGTCACTGTATTTCTAGGGTTATTAAAAATTATTAAGGTTTATTATAGGTCAAACAGTCTTTGTAAAACTGGTTTACTGTAAATGTAATGTAATAATAGTAGTATTGAAGTTGCATGAAAATTCAATAATAATAATATTTTCAATAAAACCTTTGTGCCAATATTAAGAAAAAAAAGTGTAATGTATATTAATAGTACTATTAAAATAAAAGTAAATAGTAATTAAAAAAATAACATTTTAATATATTATTCACGACAAAATAAAGATAATTTCATTGTTAAGTAAAAACAAGGTACTATAGTGATGTTTGCACATTTTATCACAATTAAGCTATCATTGGTCTGGTACTGCTTAGTTTAATCAGATGAATTGAGGAAGCGATCGAAGGCCTCTTTGAACTCTCCCTTGGGGTCCTGTTGTTTGACCAACTCTTCCCAGATTTCCGGCAACTTGGTCTGGAATCCGCGAACCACAACTCTAACGAGTTCCCTTTGTTTAGGAGTGCATTTGGCGCAGGTCGTCCTTAGAGCCTCCGGAATTGTTTCTGGTGAAAGATTGAATAGTGAATATTTAAATTGGTCACTTAATGTAAGTTTTCACTGCCAAAGTGCAACAAAAACAAACTCTTGTCCCTGTCATTTTCATAGAAAATAAGAGGGATGACAATCTTACTTCTTACTGATATTACAAATGCAAATGTTTGGATGGATAGATTGATGTTTGTTCGAAGGTATATCCAGAACGGATGAACGGATCTAATAATTTTTTTTAATTCCGCGCGGATGGATTCGCTTGCGACAGCTATGTACATCTATTTTACCTTGGCAGTATAAATTTGACGTCAGTAATAAAACATCAAATGAACAATAAACCCACATAATAGTACGCAGAGACGACTCAAATCTACATCGATCGATCGATACATCTTTAACAATGGCTTTAACATCTTCGCACGAATTGTCCCGGCTCGCCCGGTGAAATACCACGACCACACAGAAGACAGGCGAGAAGTGGAAATAATTCCGCATTTCGTCTGATGAGTGTGCGTCCCGGAGGCCTAATTTAGTCCTTTTTCCCTTCCCACCCTTTTTCTTATAAGGAAAGGATGTGGAAGTGGAAGTGGACTTTCCGGATGAGAGGACGCATGGGAAGGCAAAATATTTTCTTTCTGTGCATCCTCTCCTCCGTCAATTAATGGTAAGCAACACATATGCAATTGCGTATGTCTATGGGCAACGTTCACTTCGCTACTTCAGCGATTTCAGGTGGCCGCTCGCTCTTTTGCCACATTATGATATAAAAAAAATCGAATTCAAAACAGCAAAGATCTCAGAGTTCTCTCACTGCCGTTAAAGGAACTTTGTTCTTTATATAATATATTAAAATGAGTCACAGTTAATAAAAGTCAGAAGTTATATGTCCCGACAATAATACCTTGTTCTCAAGATTCAAACAAGTGTGTTCCGCTTCCTTGTTTAAAACGTTAAGTTCACAATAAGGACATGTCGTTCGCTTATACCTTGATAGTGACATAATGTTTACACACTTGATTACTGAATAACATAATCTATTTGTCGCTATATAATTGGGCAAATTATTGAAACAATTGCGAAATAGAAATGGAAATCTAGTCGATTAATAATAACAAAATTCAAAAAACGGATGAATTATTAGGCTACTTTCATTGCATTTGCCTACATAGCAGCCGTAGATACATTACTATCATCATCAGCTCACTGTATGTCCAGGGGCCCAGAGCCTATCCTAAGTTAGGGGTGACTAGGCCATAGTCAACCGCGCTCGCCAAGTCAACCAGACTTCACACATATCTTTGAATTTCTTCTCATATGTGCAGGTTGCATCACGATGTTTTCCTTTACTGTATGAACGTCGGATAAATGTACATATGTAAATTGTAAATCGAATAACACATTGGTACATGGCGGGATTCGAACCCATGACCTGCAGATTGCAAGTCTAGTGTTGAGACCCCTGAGCCACCGACGCTCTCATTACTATACTACTAGACTATTAATAATATTTTTTAAGTTTTTTTCGTCTCACTATCTAGGAAAAAACTTATACAATATTTTTGACACTGAAAACTCACATTATCTAATGGCAATTTCCTTGCTACACTGTTACTCATTTTTCAGCAAGGACTACGATTTTACCTAGCACATATCATTTCACGAACTTACTTTTGAAATCAGAACCTTCCGCCGTGCAAGGGCCCTGGCCTAAGAAGCAACGTCCATAACTCTTGAGCAGTCTTGTGTTCCCGACAAGCTCCGTGGCATCAAAGTTGTCATACTGTGAATTATAGGTGTCTGCAGGAGCGGCAAGCGCTGCTGCGGCTAAAGTACAAAGCAAGATGATAGTTTTCATTCTGAAAAAGACAGAAAGGATGTTTCTATTATTATACAGGAATTACTCTAACAGGAATAACTAGACGAGGCTACGAACTGGAGTGGGAAAGTTCCACAATTGTGCATTGGAGGTTACTTTAATCCTTCTTATTCTATCGACTTTCTTTCGCAAGGTTGCTAAAGTAATTTCTTTAATGGTCACAGATTTTTAAGATTTTATTAATTTAAAAATGACGGGAAATAAATTACTTTTAAACAATATTCAATAAAGAAACAATAAATCTATGCTGATAATGGAAATTTATTTGTTTCGTAATTTTATTAAAAATTATTATTATTATAAAAACCTGCTAAATTCGTACGTGTGAACTTACGTGCAGTTGTTGACCAGATCTTCTGATACTGAATTTATTACATCACGTCAGTTCTTATATACACAGCACGTAGGAAAACAAGGTACGAATTGGTCAGCAAACTGACTGGATTTGTGCAAACACTGCACACTTTAGTCGATAGCTGACGATGTATTTTACTAAACTACTACACGCTAAATGACTCCTGAAGTTGATATTGATCTTTGATTTTAACTCGTACGTGATAATGACATGATTTAATGCAATCTAACATCCTTGTAATGGTTCCATTGTTGTGTGTTGTCAACAATTTTACTTCGTACTAATAATTGATGGATGTTTGTTAGAAGGTATCTACAGACCTGCTCAACGTATCTATATGAAGTTGGCATAGATGTAAAACAAAGTCTGGAAGAACATATAGGCTAGATTTTTTTTATTACCGCGCAGGCATTAACTTGTTTTATATATATCTCATAGTTGAAACGGGTTAGCGTTTAACCCTTATTGTGGCAAGATTTCTTTTTTGAAGAAAAGCAAAAAACTAAGTTAAAAAATATTTTATAGTGATCGTATATTTTTATAAAGTTTTATGTATGGTATACTATACAAAAAGAACATAAGGGGTATACAAAACATTTGATATCGTTAATGGTTTTAAAAGTGTGATATCGAGAGATGTTGTAAATATTTGCTGTTTATTATTTTTGTATAACTTATTTCTTATTATTTGAAGCTGGAATTATCCGTATAATTTATAAACAGAAAAATGTTCGTTTAATACGTATACATACGTACTTACAATGCATTTGTTAGATGTAAATAAAGTCAGTGGGCGGTACTTGTATGACATATTGACATACGTTTTTTCAATAGAATTATTTGACATCAAAAACTTTTCCTGATACGGTAAGATAAATTGACGACTGAACGATAATTATGCAGAGGACGTTATTATTAGTTTGCATAATGCTAGTTTCACACGAAGGCAGTATAACAGTAGACATTGCAGTATCGCTAATATTTGAACGCACCCTTACTGTTAATACAGTAACGATACTGGTCTGCATTACTATGATGCTTGACTGGACGTGTTACTAAGGTGCTTTGAACAGAACACTACGAAAATCTTCGATACCTGCGCGTCTTTAGTCACTAAGAATCTTACGTAATACAATCTCATATAGGTTCGTACACTGCCATGCGTCGTCGACATTTTGTTCTTTCATTGTTAAGGACAGTCCTGTTTTCCGAAATCGTCGAGACAAAAGTGGCCAAGAGTTTGAAGATGGCGAAGCAAATCGATACAATTCACATTTTGTTACTTTTTAAATTCATGTTATTACAGTTTATAAGTGTTAGAATTTAGTAATTCATGGATTTTTGCGATAATAGCCCAAATTTATGTCATCTGTTTCTAGCAACGTTAAAAGTATATGCAATCTAGATTTTTAATCGATATTATAATTTACTTGGGGAGAACCAAGAAAAATACCCAGTGTAATTTTTCCATGGCATTCATTGTTCGATTTAACAGAATGTCAGGGAAATAATAGTGTAAGCCGAAGCAATTTACTGATCTAATATACTTATGAGTCACAGTTCACCACACAACAAGTTTTCATGACAACTTACATCCTAGGGAATTACCCCAAAGCTTTGCTATACAAATATTATGTTTGAAAATCCATCGCCTAAAATTGTTTAGTAGGGGATGAAGTTTTGTTTGGAGAAATCTTTTTCCTTTACCATAATTACTTATCAAAATCCCTTAACAATATTTCAATTTTTTTAAATTCAGATACTCTACTCGCATAGTCACCGCCGTCAGTAAGTCTTTTGTACACACGGCAAAGTAAATATTCGAAACCGGGCGATTTTAGTCGCTTCGTACTCAGGCTTAAAGATATAAAAATTTGAAATAAGTCATTGTATGATATTACGGTGATGAATAATTTATGAAAGAAAAAATATTAATGAAACCTCGAATCCAAGATTTCCTGATTGGAGATTTCAACATTACTTATACAAGTAATTAGTCGACGTGCTAAAAATTAAATGCATGCTTAATATTATTAAAATGGCTATAAAACATTGTATTCTAACAAGCTGAATAAAGCCTATTTTTTTAATGAAAGGTAACCGTCCAAGTAAATGTTCGTTTAGGAGGATACTAATAATATTGATGAATTCTGTATTTAATAAAAAGTTAACGCGAAAACTTAACACGTCGGAGGTTAGTAAGTTTAAGTCGGAAAAAGATCAATACATAGATCTTAGCTTGTAAGTAAAACGACTAAACTATAATAGGTTACTTATAAAAGCGCCTCTACGATATGTGAATTTGTATTATAAATCTTTCACTTAATAAGAGTGGATTAAGTTAATTCTTCTCTAATTATAACACAAGGCAATGGTTTTTAGCGTATAAGGATACTTAAGTCCTTTGGTCTTGCTCGAGTATAAAGGGCCACAATTAAAGCTCTTGACCTAAATTATGGAACAATTATAATCATTTAATCTCACGTCTTAAACTCATGTTCACGTTCGTGTCAATTTAATATCGTTTCCTCGAATCACTTGAAATGTATTCAACGCAATAACTTCATGACCTTTTTTGATTATACGGAAACAGTTATCGCCTTTGTTTTTTATTTTAAGATAGATATGTTCTTATAAGTATAAAAATTTTACGAAATTAAACGTTTAATTAATATCTTTAATCGCTTTAAAAATCAAGGTGCATTAAGGTATTGAAACTCCCTTAAAAGTCCTTTGGGTCTCAAATTTCATTTCCTTTGCTTGCTAGACAAAAACACATTTAAGATTATAAATCCCGGACACGATGAAATAAATTTTTCAGCTAGGTCAAATGCAGTGCAGGTTCTAGTTCTAGTCACCTTCTTGAATGGTTGCGCCCCTCGGTAGGGACGTCAATCAACGTGACGTCGGCCATACTTTGCTAATTGCTTATAATACTAGTCAGAATATACATTGTCGGAATTTAAAATCTATCGGTTACAGTTACAGAGTATTATGATTTCTAAAAACGGTCTATAATACAAATTTATCGCAAGATGTCCGGAATTATCAAGTTTAAGAGGTTATCAAGTATTATTTTGTAAATGTGTCATAAGTATATAAGATTTATTACAAGAAACATAATCAAAATAAAGCTGTTCAGTCGTATTCATAGATTTGGAAGCAATATGTCTAAGTTTACGGTAAGTTAAGTTAATTTAAAATCAATTAAGTTACATATTTAAAGACACTGGGATCAAATAAAGTAACTTAATTGTTTTTATTATTTTTCATTTTGTACGATAACTTAAAGAAAATATGAACGATAAATGTCTCCAAAAATCATATTATGATACTTAATTTTTAATGTATTCAGGTAATTTTGGCTCTCATTGCGTTGATCGCATTAGTGTCAGCGCGTCCACAAGGTCAGATATTAACTTTTTAATTATCATCTTTTGTTTTAAATATACCAATTTTCAACAATCACACAATTAGCAATTGTCATGGGTTTCCATTATCAACAAACACGAACAAAAATATATGCAAGGAAATAGATATAAGAATATATCTTCGAACAGGTATATTGGCAGTGAAAACCAACAATTAATTTATTAAAAAGGTTAATTTTATTACTGTTCGTACCCAGAGTTTGTCACTCAACACAGTATCTTATTTTTTTAAAACAACATTTGTTTCCGGTAGTCCACTCTTGTCCCAAGAATGATTTCCAATGAAAAAAAAATTGCATTTAAAATAAATTGTGTTCAAAATAAAACAGTGCCCAACGGCTAAAATAAGCTAGTAACTGGGCCAATACAGTGTCGAAAGTGATTATTTCTTGATACTTTTCTTTAACTTTCAGTGGATGTTGTTGACCAAGACCCTGGATCAGGTTCGTACCTTACTTTACAACTTAAATATTTATATTTATAATCAATCTTGTCTCTCATTGCGTTAATTTCCACTAGGTCGGATATGAACAATAAATTAACATCTTTTTTTAATATACGAATTTTCAACATCACAATTAACTGTTGTCATGGGTTTCCATTGTCGACAAACCTGAATAAAAACATGTCGTCATTCCTTCAGTAAGGAAGAACAGAGATAAGAATATATCTTTGAACAGAAAAACTAAATGTACAGGTTTACTTACAGTTTCTTTTTTTAAGAAATGACAATTGTTTCAGATAGTTCGCTCTTGTCCCAATAATTATTTTCAAAGACGAAATAATTTTTGTTTAAAATTATATGTGCTCAACGTCTAAAATAAGCTTATAAGTAGGGCAATACAGTGACTATAATAATTATTTGTTAATATTTTTCTTTAACTTTCAGTGGACGTTGTTGACCAAGACCCAGGCTCAGGTGTGTATCTAACTTTACAACTTGAATATTTATATTAATAATAAATTAATAATTAAAATCAGCCGATAAATATTTTTTTACTTAACTTATTGAATTCGAAAAAAACTGTAGTGACCGCCGCCCATAGACATCTGCATTTGCAAATGTGTTGCCTACTTTTAACCGATAGAGAAGAAGACGCAATGCGGATATTTTCACCTTGTATTCGTTTTCTTTTCCGTCAAATCGACTTCCGCTTCCATTCTTTTTTTTAATGTTTTCTTTTTGAATTCCAGTTAACGTTATCGGTGGAGGTGAACAAGGTATTTGAATACGAAGAGATTTCTATTTTGTATTTTTTAAACAAAGTTATGCAGTAATGAAATCATGCATGGCTTTGCATATGTTGACTGCAAAAATTATAAGATTTAACTCATTGCTTCATAATTTATATTATGAATATCTTTAACTGAGCACTGATTAAAGATATAGCTTAATTAAAAATATCTCTTTCCAGTAAACATCGTCGACAATGATAACCAAGGTAATTTTTAAAACTTTTTTTTTATAAAAAAATTTACTACAATGTATAATATTGAGGTTTTTATGGAAATATCAAAAGGTTAATCGACCGAAGAGCTGGCAGCTACCTCGGACAAAGAATTAGTACAGCTATTCAAAGGGGGAACGCTGCCAGTATCTTCAGAACCTTGCCTAAAGGGGCTGCTTTTAATAGTATAATATATTTTAGTTAATTATTGGTTTTTAATATTTTATTTAATATCATAGATTCAACTCTATATTTAATTAATATAAGTTTAAATTGAGTGAAATTAAGGACTGCTTTACATATATTGTCCCCTAAAATATTGCCTGACTCAAAATACAAATATCCATGTACACTTTGATCTTCTTGAAGAAGTTCTAATAGGGCTTTATTTTTAATGATTGACTTGATTGATAATTTTAACATAAACTTGTCTTCCACATTTCTCTAAAAACTTTAAACCAGTCAGTTGCTTATTTAGTGTGTAAATACTAACTACGTTTTTGTATTTTGTTATATCATTGAAAATTCTTAAGAATTCATGTTAAAGTGCAATCAAAATCATGCTTAGATTTTTTTTGGAATAATAATTTGTTTTTGCTTTAATATATTTCCCTTCTGTTTAGATTACGATGTTAATATGCTTTTTTCTTTATTTAACTTAATGTGGTAGAATCCAGTTAGTAAAAATATTACTAATTTATAATTTCAAATCTGGAGAAAAATTAATTTAATTTTTTTTATAGGTTTAGCACGGTCCTCGTAGAAGACAGTAAAATTTAATCTATAATTAATATTTTTTAATATTATATTCTATGTAATTACAATATATTTTCATGTATATATTCTACATGTAGCCATTTTTATTTTGACACCCATCTTTCTTTTTTTTAATTAAAAAAAGAGTTGACACATAATTTATTTTAACCTATGGCGTGCATTCAATTCATTTGAGTAGACAAACTCTCTACCAATCAACAATATTCGATGACAAAAATTAAACAAAATAAATGGTGTATTATTTTAATGTTTGAATGGATGGATGTTTGTTAGAAGATATCTCCATAACGGCAGCATAGATCTCGCTGAATTTTAGCATAGATGTTAAACATAGCCTAGAAGAATAGGCTACTTACTAAGTTTTTTTATATTTACGCACGTACGGAGTTGCGGGCAACAGCCAGTAACAAATAAGCATGGTAAGAATAAAAAAAGGTGAAAGAGGTCTGTGAAAAAATAATAATAATGCAGATGATATAACGTCATACTAATTAATTATATTGTTATTTAAAACTTCAAATTGTTGCAAATATACTTGAATAAATACGTTTTCAAATTCTTAGAACTGGAGTCATGCTCTGAGATCATGAAATAAACTTTAAAATGCGATTCCTTTAGTTTTTAAGATATAATAATTACAACGTTTTTTAATTACTTGTATAAATTATTTCGTCCTTTTGTAATTAACTTAAATCCTGTTTCAATTCGTGAGTCCTTCAACGATTACTTTACTGATTTTTATTACTTCTTAAAGTAATTAAAATCTTTGCTGACTCTACGTTAGCGTTATAACTAAAAGAAGATGTATAACGTAAATGCATAGCTCTCATATCTATGACCCAGAGGTTGTGAATGTCCATTAAACGGGATTCTGGTTAACATCAGGTTACATTTAAAAAGTTGTATACTCTTTAATGCATTTATGTAATTTAAAATGACCGAATTGGCCAGTACCCCGTTATAATACCACGGACACACAGAACACATGCGTGAAGTGTACATAATTCCGGGTTTCGTCCGATGAGTATGCATGCAGCAGGCCTAATTTTAGACTTCTTTCCCTTCCCACCCTTTTCTTACAAGGAAAATATAGGAAAGGGGAATTGGATTTAATGCGTAGGAAGATGAAATATTCTCTTTCTGTCCCTTCATGATAAAAAAAAATTCAAAGTTATGAGAAGACAATCCATAGTGGGCCAGCGTGATTAGCAAGCCGTAGCCATAACGCGGAGTCCTAATATGAACTGGCGACTACACTACTACTACGTTGTTAGCCGTGACCTAACGGATAATTTGCCAATTTGTGACAGTGTATCTGTATATTGAGAAAGTAAATACTACTAGCGATCGCTTGAGACTTCGTCAGCCCAGAATTTTTAAAAAATGTAGCCTATAATACGTTCAATAAAACAATAATATTATCGTATTTTATCAATACTTAATATATGTAAAAAAACAACGCGATGTTTACAATCATTTAAAAATCACCTTGAAATCAACATTGTCGATATACGATGTATACGTCAACAAGAGGAAAATAAACAAGTTATAATAAGTTACCTTTAGTATCAATCTGATGGCGTTTAGATACAAACGCCCATAGAAATTGCAAATATATAACAAGTTATAATATATGTGACGTGTACATGTTAATTTAGTTTAATATCGAGATAAGACCTATTGTGCTAAATGAAGCTGGTTCAATCGCGCTCAATGACATCACATACTAAAGGAGTCGCAGCCGACTTTAATTGACAGCGGCGCAGAGAGCGACCGTCGACTGTTCCAAGCTGACCTCGCTTGCGACACGACTCGCTCGCCAGACATAAAAATACGCTCGAATTAAAAACAAAATGTCAACATTTATCGTCGGATTCATTTGCGCCATTATTTTGGTGAGTTTAACCTTATATAAACAATAAACATTTTAATTACCTGTCGAGATACTAACATGTTTCATTTCAGGCGATCGTGTTGATTGTCTGGCTGGCGTACTACATGTTTTGTAGAGAACGACACAAGCCGGAACATTTTCAATACAGCATTGAAGATTTACGAATCAGAAACATCGAGATTGCACAAGATCAAGACGAAGGCGTGAAGAAACAAGTGACGGCGGGCATTTTTTTAATGCCGTCACGTCATCACATTGACAATGACTATATCAGCAGACCTGATTATCCGGAAAGTCCCGCTCCGCAATTACAACCGAAGACGGAGAAACTGATCGACATACTCAATGATGGACCCGTCGATGCAGACGTCCACAAAAATGTCAGCTTCGATTTGTCATCGCAGTGCCACACCAGCGACGTGTAATTAAAACAAACCTGTTAATTATTTCATAATGTATTTCTCATTGTATTATTAATTAGTGTCACTCGTATGTACCCACCAAGTTTTTAAATAAATATTATTTTTGTATTCTTATTATTTTCCTATTTTTGCAATTCGTATCTCAGATCTTTATTTTTCCAATTTTCCAAGAAGGCGGACACATACACAGACTTTGTTCATTATTCGTTTTTTTTTAAATATAATGTTGCAGTTTTAATTGCTTTAGCTTGTATAGATGTTAAAACGAATTAAATAATTAATTTATGATTATTTAATAAAAAGTAACGATTATAGGGAAGATTACAACATCAAATTACAATATGCAATTAATAGTATAAAACGGCGCCTGTCAATATAATTTTCGCTGTACTGAAGTGCTGCTTTGCTCGTGAATTTTGATAGGAGATGATAAAAAATGTCATTGTCCAAGACTTTTGACTCCATCCACCATTTTGTCTATGGTACTTTTTTCAGTGGGTTTGAAGACATGTACTACAGCGTCGCTGGCGCTGCTAAGAGTCTGCACCATCTCCGTCCAGGCGTTTTTCATAGACTCCATAACGTCGCGCTTTGATCTTATCTCATCCGTCGGAAATGCGGAGACCATTACTATGAGTATCTGTAAATACATTTTGTACCTGTAGTTGATCATATCTATTTTTGAGGCACTACTTGCAACAAAATAATACCAATAGTATAAGTTGTAAAATTATTTTTTTTAACTATTACAAAAGAAAGATTGAGGCCGTGACCTCATCACGTGGGTTTAAGGAAAAATCAAATCGAAATATTTGTATGTGGGATTTTCACGGTCAATGACTTCGAAAGACATCTTTTACTAAATATCAGGTATCTTTGCCAACCAATAACTACCAACAATAAAGTGGTTTCTTACTTTCACAAACAACTTCTTAAAACTTTCTAAAAAAAGCTGGTAGTTTAAAGTTTTTTTTTAATATTCATTCTTATAATACATATACTTTCAAGAATAAGGATAAATATATTGTAACCTAATTATTGCCACAAAAAAAATATTTTTGTCTTACGGTGAATCTCCATTGTCGCAACACTGGTATACAAACAATATTGCCTCTCGTATTTTTAAAAAGACAGAGATAACAATAGTGTCACGTTAATTGAAATGCACGCTTATATGAAATGACTAACAATAATTAACTCATAATCAAAAAGTGTACGGATAAATCAAAAGACAGTCGTGTGTACCGTGTAAAGTATCTTACCGTTGGTTTCTGAGACCAAAATATAAAACGTATTCTTATCTTTATTTTGTCAAAGATAATAACAGGGATGACGATATGTTTGGTACAGAAATTTTAGTCTCAGAAACCAACGGTTGGTCTAATTGATTTGATTTCAACTTTAGTGACAATTATATTATTAATACAGCTGTTTTGTCACAGAGAATGCCTTTTTCGTGCATTTAAGGTCCAATATAGCTTGTTTTTGATCGGATCGGCGGGTAGGTCCCGTGACCTTTTGCCCTCGATCTTTCCAACCATCTTTCGTTTGTCCAACTTACCTTGGTTTTTGGAAAATACGACCAAATTATCCAAGAAATAAGATACTAAAGGATAATCAGTTGGTCGATATTGGATTTATTCGTTCTTTTTGCAGTCCACGCTCTACGCTTTCGTAGATATCTAGGTAGATATCGTAGGTATTTCTTTCATCCAAATAGAATGCCAGAGTTATACGTATTAATAGAAGTTCCACTGCAGTGGAGTCATATATTTCAAATGAACAAGTCAACTTCATAAAATTGTGCTACTTTGGTGATTTTATTTGGTACAGTTATATTTTATACGATTCACATTTTTATAACTAAAAAAAGACGCATTAACATTATTTGGCACAGTAATCATGTTTTTATGATTATTTTTTGTTATTTTAGTAGAACTAACATAGTATTAGACTCTAGACATTGACTAATCCAACGAAATTTAGATGTTTTATTGCAACATAAGAATGACGTACTTACAAATCCAATGATAATAGTTGTTCGAATATCCATTTCGAAGTTTCGCGAACAAAATAAATAGCACAGTACGCTTGTCTTGTTTATACTAACGCCGTCCTCTTACTAACAATACAGGGGATAAACAGGAAGGTATGAATTTGTTCTGGCCATTCACGTGTGTCACAGTAATCGACCAACCAAATAACCGAGCACAATAGGCCTCAAACGCGACAACGTTGAGGGCTGTGGACCGTGACTATTTTAACAATAAAATGCATTTATTCAAACAAACAGCGATAAGTTTGATCGTGGGTGTCCACTTGTACAATGTACATATTGTTGCTGTCAGTTTTATGAAAGAGAATAAGAGTGACGAGAATATAATT